CATGACTATTCCCGCTTTCAACTGATGACGGCTTCTCTCCGGCGTGTGCACTTGACGCCGCCCTAGGTGGGTCATGTACCACCTCACACACCACACCGATCTCATCTCTCAACCTAGAGATGTGGAGGTGAGAACAAGGCCAGATGTCATGTTATCAGGATACGGATCCGAGGAAGACTTTGCCCCTGCCAAAGACTCGTCGAATGCGAGCGAAAGCGCGAGCGGCGTTTGGTACTTCCCAAACGAGAGCATGCAGTGAGTGCTAGCCTTTGGCCGTGGTACCACCTTGATTGCAGTAAGTCTCATCTCTTCGCCTTGCTTCGCTGTCGAAGTTTCAAATTCAGGGGCACGCATATATGGGCTAAGAGGAGTAGAGCGTTGGTCGGCGATTCGGAGTGGGACGAAGTAAGTCATAGCGATGCCGTCTGTTGAAACAGCCTCATTTCAGCTGACCCCGTATGACTTCCTCAGACTTTGGTTCTTTCGTTCCTCACACTCTCTTCTAGCCCTCTAAGGAACTTCATCAGGCATGTCAAGGAGCAATATGTTGATCAAGAGCTGGGCAAATGCATTGTGTGGCAGTTGGACCGATACGGACAATGGACAGAGTCCAATAGTAGCTCCAAACGGCTGGCCGAGTCTGTGCATCTGCCTATCGGTCAGAAGGAAGACTTGCTGGGCGACGTCAGGTGGTTTTTGAGCAACGAAACGAGGCGATGGTATCATGACCGTGAGTGATGTTTCTTCGGTGTCCAGAAAAGCGGCATCGCTAAGCTCAGCTTCATGTCACCCGAATGCTTGCAGGTGGCATACCCTGGAGACGCGGATATCTGTTTCAAGGCATTCCGGGTAGTGGCAAATCCTCCATGGTTCACGTCATGGCTAGTGAGCTGTCCATGCACATCTACTCGATATCCTTGTCAAACAACAAGATTGACGATGCGACGTTTCGGGTACGTCTGCGTTCCGGATCGATGTGAAACTTTGCGATGGCTTCTGGACTCAGCGACGAAACTCTCTCATGCGCAGGAATTGGCGCAGAAGGTTCCTGAAAGGAGTATCTTGCTCCTAGAAGATGTCGACGTGGTGAGAAAGAGCAACGTCTGACTGCGCATTTTTGCGTCACGATTGACGCCAATCGGCTCTCTCCCCTCGTAGGCCTTCGCAAATAGAGAGCAAAAGCTTACAGGAGTAACGCTGTCGAGCTTGCTCAATGCAATTGATGGAGTGGGAGCGACAGACGGCCGCATATTAGTCCTCAGCACCAATCGCAAGGAGGTTCTGGACGAGGTGAGAGACGGTGTGAAGCGGATATTTGTGCTCGTGATTCCGTGTTGAATTGGGACCATTCGTTCCTCTGTATGCGCAGGCGCTTATCCGGCCGGTGAGTTGCGTGTGGCTGCAACAACATTCTCTTCTCCGCTGATCGCATGTTCTTGCTCACAATCCCGGCAGGGTCGAGTGGACTACGAATTAGCCTTCACACACGCAACTTCTTCTCAAGCCTATGAGCTCTTTCTACGTTGGTACAAGCCAGCGTCTCGTCGTACGGACAGTGGCTGTTTGGCGCACTCGCAAATAGAGAAGCTCCGCTCTGACGAGCAAGATCTGGAGAAGGAGGCGCGGTCATTCGCCGAAGCTATACCAAATGGACGAGTCAGCGTCGCAGCGCTGCAGGGTCATTTGTTAAAGTATCCGCATGAACCTCTGAAAGCCGTTCAGACTTTGTCTAGATGGCTTTCAGAGCAAGCAGGTAAGGACGACGCAGTATAAGTCAAATACGTCGTCGATGACACAAATTCAGTGAAGCTGGTCAAAGCGTGACAGCGAGCAGGACACGCGATGCAGAGCGGGGTCTTCGTGCGCTACGATGCTTACAGGAACGTGGTCTGGAGCAAGCAATCGCGAGAAGCGTAGTGTAGCAGATCGAGCGTAGTGTCGAGAGCCCAGTCGGCTCTTGTCACACGAGATGATGAGCGTGCGGATCCTCGGCATTACCACTACCTTCAGCGCCTATCGTCCAGAGTGATGCCACGGTGTAGATCTGGCGAGAGCTGAATTGCTTCAAACCCTCATGATGTACTCGAGCACGGGCTTACCGACACGCAGGGTATGCATTAAATTCCTATATCTTGCTGCGCGTTGATCGTTCGATGGCCTGTATGCCTCATCTTGGCTCAGGCTCGTTTCCAGCTGGCCTTGTCTCCTCATTGACTTGACTGCTGTCAATTTCATCTTGCACCTCTCCTTGCTGGCCCAGGCCTTCCTTCCCCGCCCAACCTTCTCTGATCTGCTCCAAGACCGATTCGCCCACCAACCTCCTAAGCTCTTCCTCCTCTTCGTTTGTCAATTTCAACTCTTCTCCAGATTCTCCCCTGTCGGCATTTTCGGATCGCAAAGAAGCGCGAGACAAGAGGGACTCTACCTGACTCATCAGCGCTTCCGTCCTTTGGTCGATAAGGTCTCTAGCAGCCGGAGTCAAGCTGGCTCCCTCCTCATCCTCCAACCTCGAAGTCAATTCACTCTCTTCCTCTTCCTCTGGCCCATCTCCAGGTCTCTCATAAAGTCTCTTCTCTCCCGTTATACCCCTCAAATACTCTGCCACCTCTTCAAACCCATTCTCCTCTGCTACTTCAGCCGCTGTATCTCCCGCCTTGTTCTTGTGGAAAGCATCGCCTCCATGCTTGATGAGTAGTTCTGCTATGGCAACTTCTTCAACCACGAACAACGGTGTATCTCCATCCGAATCTTGAATGTTGACGGCGTTTGATGGAGTTTTGGCGTGCGCGAGGAGAAGTTGAAGCGTGCTGCTGTGCGAGTAGGATGCGGCTGCGTGCAGCGGAGTGTAGGTGTTGCTGTCGGGTGCGGTAGGAGCAATATCTGGCAGAGAGGCGCGACAGAGGGAGTCGAGAGGGGGGATTGAGCACCTCCTTCACGCTACATGGCAGCATGAGGATCACCCGCAGTCATCGAGCCCAGCTCACCCTCTACTTCGATCAGGTATCTGACCCTCTCATCATCCCCCTCTCCAGCTGCGATCCAGATGTTGGAAGACTGCGCAGCGGCGGGTGAGACTGCGACTGGCATGGCGTGGCGTG